CTGGTCTCCCCCAATCGATGATCTCAGGCTTCAACTCCTTGTCCCGTTTCGGGTCGTTTTTGTTCTCTATAATAATCACCATGTTGTTATCCACGAGCATTGGCGCACTGCTATGGCTTCTGAATTCGAGATCACTAAGGTGAACAAAACACATGGTCTGTTGTTCCTCTTTCGGTCGAACATACTCTATTAGCTGCAAATGAGTTTCTAAGGTCAAGCACAAGTATGACGGTTTCAATGCTACAAAGCTCGTTTACAAGCTAAATGTTATACTCAATAGAGGGCGTTGATTTTATTGAAAACTTTTCTCCTGTCGCAAAATTGGTGATTGTAAAGGTCTTTCTCACCATTGCCGCTTCTCTTAATTGACTTTTGATTCAACTTTATGTCAATGCTTTTCTTCATGGTAACCATTTTTTTTATAAAGTTTACATGAACTTACCTCCTGGATATAAATCTCGCGTTGCTGTTTAGACTAATGGGGAGCGTTTGGGATGTCATCTCTATAAGTATCAGACAATGGTTTTCCAAATTCTCTCATGGACTATTATCACTCTAAGTTTTGTCAACTTCGGTTTAATTATTCCTTATTCACTCGTGGAAATAGTTCTTCATATACATTGATCATCTTGTCTATGCCAATGATATCATCATCACTGGGGACGATCTTTCATATATTAATTCTTTGAAGGATACTTTTCATATACCCAATTCAACTTAAAGGATTTGGGTCCTTTAAAGTATTTTCTTGGTCTCGAACTCGCCAAATCAATTGACGACATATCTTTATCTCACCAACAATATGAAATCTTTTCACAAAATGTGAAAGTATTGCTTTATTCCCACATCATTAATTCATTGATACACCAGAGTATTTATAGGAAAATAATACAACAATATATAAAACTGCTATTAAACTAATTTTGTAACAGAAAAACAGAACTGATAATACATCAGTTAATATCCTACCGCAAACGAATAGCAGCTAAGCCATGAGTTTGGACCGTAGTAAACAAAATCGAGCAAAAGGAAGAGGCTTAGTGAATATATCAGCAAGTTGAGAAGCAGTGGGAATATGCTGAAGAAGAATATCTTTACGAACAATACGTTCTCGAATGAAATGATAATCAATCTCGACATGCTTCATCCACCCATGAAATATAGGATTATGAGCAAGTTGTATTGCAGATATATTATCACACCAAATTCAAGGAGGTTGTGATCCAAAAATACAATGATCACGCAGAAGCTGTCGGAGCCAAAACAACTCAGCTGCAGTGGAAGCAAGCGCTCGATATTCAGCTTCAGTAGAGCTCCTCGAGACTGTAGATTGCTTCTTGGCTGCCCAAGATATGGGATTATGACCCAAAAAAATGATAAAACCAGTAGTAGAGCGCCGATCAAGAGAATCCCCGACCCAATCAGAATCAGAAAAAGCAGTGAGACTAAAACAATTCGAATGACCCTTTCTAAAAAGCAGTCCAGATGATAAGGTGCCATTTACATAAAGTAAGACTCGTTTGGCATCAATTAAGCTGGCAGCAGATGGAGAATGCATGGATTGAGACAATTTACTCACACAGAATGCAATATCTGGGCGAGTAAACGTTAAATACTGAAAGGCACCAACAATAGAACGAAAAGATTTTGCATCCTCATCAGAACAAGGACATTCAGCACCATTTACAGCAGAGGACAAAGCACTGGGAGTGTTACAATATTTAGCAACAGCCATACCAAACCTTGCAAGAATATCTTTTGCATACTTGGTTTGAGATACACTAATTCCAGCAGTATGGGAGACCTCAAGGCCCAAAAAATACTTGAGACTTCCAAGATCACTCATATCAAATTTAGTTCGTAATTGAGCAATCAAAGCAGAAATATAAAAGGGACTATTACCAGTAAGGATGATATCGTCCACATACAAGAGCAGATAAGTAATAGTGTCACAAGTATGCCGAATAAACAAAGATGAATCTGCTGTGAATGCAACAAAATCAAGAGACAAGAGATGAGATGTAAAGCACTCAAACCAGACTCGTGGTGCTTGCTTTAGACCATAAAGAGACTTAAGCAACTGACAAACATGATTAGGATAGGTAGAATTGACAAAGCCTCGAGGTTGTTGCATATAGACTTCCTCTTGAAGTTCACCATGCAAAAAAGCATTTTTGACATCAAGCTGCCTAAGATCCCAACCATATTAGCAGCTAATGAAAGAACGATACGAACGGTAGGTTTCTTTACAACGGGGCTAAAGGTCTCTTCATAGTCAATACCTTCTTCCTGATGATACTCCTTAGCAACAAGCCTTGCCTTATAACGAGCCACACTACCATCTGGATGTCGTTTGACCCGGTATACCCATTTACAACCTATAGCAGTTTTACCAACAGGAAGTGGAGCAAAAAACCATGTACTTTGTCGAAGTAAGGCATCATGTTCCTCAATCATAGCATGCTGCTATACATGTAGTTTAGATGCCTTGACAAATGAAGTAGGTTCCAAAATGGGATCAGTAGAAGAAACAGTAGCAAGAAAGACCTTCTTCTTAGAGATACCGGACTTGCCTCGAGTTTGCATAGGATGGGCATTAACAATAAGAGGAAGAGAGCCACCACCACCATTATCAACAACATTATCAACATTAGCAACACCAGCAGATGAAGAAGTAACATGTGAAGGTGTTATGGCAATAGTATCAGAAACATGAATAGTAGTATAAGGGGCAGAAGATGATGGTGAATGAAGAGTAGTGGCTGAAGATGTATTAGAATTAGTACACAAAACATGACCATCACCAGACAATTGTGGTACAGATATTGTAGGAGGAGAAGGGGAACTAGAGTGAGAAGTAGAGGAGGCAAACAGAGGAATTGGAGAATCAGAGGAAGGGAATAAAGGAGAAGTAGACGGAGGGATAGATTGAGAAGATGTAGCAAATGGAAAAACATTTTCATCAAAGATAACATGCCGAGAAACATAGATTTTGCCATTGCTCATGTTATAGCATAAGTATCCCTTGTACTCTAATGGATAACCAATAAAGACACAAAGAGAGGTCTTGGGCTGCAACTTATGAGAGTTATATGGTTTGAGAAGGGGATAGCACACACAACCGAAGGTTCGAAGGTTCGAAGGTGAGAATAATCAAGAGGTTTATGAAACAAAATTTCAAAGGGAGATTTGTGATTAAGAAAGGCATAAGGGAGTCTATTTATAAGAAATGTGGCTGCAGCAAAGGCAAAGGACCAGAATTTTAAAGGTATAGTAGAACGTGTCATAAGAGATAAAACAACTTCAACAATATGACGATGCTTTCGCTCGGCGACACCATTTTGCTCGGGAGTATATGCACAAGACTTTTGGTGGAGAATACCATGAGTATGAAGAAAATTAGAGAGATCATGGTTAACAAATTCACCACCTCCATCAGAACGAAGAGTTTTAATGTGCATAGACAACATATTTTCAATGAAAGGTTTAAAGCGTTTAAGGACAGCAGATACATCAGATTTGCGTGCAATAGGAAACATCCAGGTATATTTAGAGAAATCATCGATAAAAGACACATAGTACTTGAATCCATTAAGAGACATAACAGGAGCAGGGCCCCAAACATCACTATGTAACAGTTGTAAGGGAGAAACAGAAAATGTCTGCGAACGAGGAAAAGGAAGTTTGTACATTTTTCCATACAAACAAAATTCACAGACACAATAAGCATTACAAGTAGGTATATGTAATAGCCTAAGAACATTATTAAGAGCTTGAAGATTGGGATGGCCTAACCGGTTGTGCCAAAGAGTAAAAGAAGACTTAACTCCAACATGAGCAACATAACCATGACCAGCAAAGGGAAGATGAGGTTGAGATGTTAATGGATAAAGTCCATTAACACTAGGCCTGCGGAACATAATTTGACCCGAATACTTGTCCTGGATAAAAAAAGTGGTCAGAATCGAAGACAACAATGCAGTTATTATCGACACAAAAATTATGAACAGAGAGCAAATTTGTGGCAATTTGGGGAACTCGAAACAAAGAAGAAAGAGAGAGTAGGGAAGAAGATGTTTGAATCATACCACAACCAAAATGAGTGATGGGAAATGATTGTCCACTGCCAACAGAGATGTTTTCTTCACCATTATAATCAGAAGCAATAGAAGCAATAGAGAGATTGCTTAAATCTGCCGTCATATGAGTGTTACATTCGGAATCAGCCAACCAAGTAGTTGGAGAAGAATTCCCAACAGCCAAATAGGAATTATTTTGGACAGCAACCATGGCTGCCAATTGTGGTGGAGGATGCCTTCCTTGAAAATGAAAATTCATTCGATTGTAGCAGTCTAGCGCCGTGTGACCAAGCTTACCACAGATTTGACAGGGAGATCGATTATCAGCTTGAAAAGAAGTAAAAAAATTGCCAGAAGAACGACCTCTTCCCTGATTAGTGAAAGTAGGAGCAAAATTAGCTTTACCACGCCCATTGTTCTTGCCACGACCTCTGTCGTGAGACTGATTTGGATGAAAAGCAGATGTACGATTCTGAGACTGCGGCGAAGAGGCGAACAAAGCATTTGGTTGAGTAACAAGATCTTCACGCTTCATTTGTTTTTCGATTGCAGATTCTTCAGATTTCATGAAGACATGAAGTTCCTCAAACGAAACAGATTGAGCTCTGGTTCGCATAGAAGTGCTTAAAGTATTATACTCTGTAGAAAGACCATTTAGGGCATAGATGAGCAGATATTCATCATTGATTGTAATAGAAACATTAGCAAACTTATCCTTGATTTCCTTAATTCGTTTGACATATGCATCAATAGATTCTTCAGTCTTCTTCACAATCGATTGTAAATCAGATTTCAAATTAACAACATTAGTTCGAGAATTTGACGAATAGTGCTTCTCGAGAACTTCCCAAACCTGTTTAGAAGTTCCGCTGCGAACAACATAAGCTAGGGCTTCAGCAGAAAGAGTAGCATTGATCAAGGTCATGAGTGCTTGATCTTTTGCAATCCAATCTTCAAAATGAGGATTGATCACTGGCAAGGAAGTAGTGGTTGTTGGTTGAGATTCAGTCTCTGATGAAGAAGCAAGAAATTGTGACGGTGCAGATACTGATCCATCAATAAAACCAAACAACTTGTGTGCCTTCAAAATAGCAGTAAGTTGAAATTTCCATAGAATAAAATCGGTTGAATCAAGACGAATCGAAACCAAATTGCAGATGTTTGATAAGAGAAATATGGGAGAATGAAGATCTTTCTTTGTGTTTGTTGAAGAAGACGTCATCGCAAAAACGCTTGAACGAAAGAAAGATACACGTGGGAATTGAAAAGTGAATGAGAGAAACATGGAAAAGATCTAAGTTGACGTGTGTCAATAATCCTGCTCTGATACCATGAAATCTTTTCACAAAATGTGAAAGTATTGCTTTATTCCCACATCATTAATTCATTGATACACCAGAATATTTATAGGAAAATAATACAACAATAGCTATTAAACTAATTTTGTAAGAGGAAAACAGAATTGATAATACATCAATTAATACAATACACTCTTCAGATTTTGGAAGATGTTGGCCGTCTTGGATATGTCTAAGCCATCTGCATTGCGTATGGATCCACGGCTTAAGCTCCAAACTAGTGATGGTGATCTCTTATCAAATCCATGCATTTTTTGTCTACTAATATTGGTCTTCATCCTACCCTCTCTCGACTGGACATCACTTTATAAGTCGCTCACAAGTTAGTCAGTATGTTTCTTAACCACGTGTCCTTCATTTATCCACCGCTTATCTTCTTTTCTATCTCAAATCTACGTCGGGTCAAGGTATTATGTTACACATCGTCATCCTTTCAATTATGCACATTTGCAACTGATGATTAGGGCTCTAGCTTAGACTCTTTGCAAATCCACAACCACGTATTGTATCTTCTTTATTTAAAATTTTAAGATAGTTGTCATATGTTTCTGTTTAACAAAAATTAGAAACAAAAAATATATATCAAACACAGTTTTATTTCTATTAATTAAAAAAATTGAAATAAGAAATGAAAAACATAAGCGACCGAACAAAAAAACTGAGACCAAACGAACCATAATTAATACTAGTATTGAATTTTCCCACCTCTAGAGGCAAAATAATACATGAAAAAGAAAAGAAAGATATATAATTCAATGGAAAGTTGAATTTTAAAACAAAGAGACAACACAATTTCTATTTTAAATTGTTAAATGATAGATGAATGATGTAACTTAGCTGGCAATTAATTTGGAAAGAAAGCAAGTACAGAGTACAGACAAATATTTCAAATCAGATAATCAAATCTGGCATTGATTCACCTACTTTCCAAAAACTATTGTTAATTAAAATCATTACTTTCATTGTCAACTCTCAATGAAATGAATTAAAGTGAAATTGTAATCCACACCCAAAAATAAATTTTTATATATTTCAAAATATATCATCTATTTTCTTTATTTTTAAATATAACAAGAAAATTTACTTATATCAATAATATATCAAACACTCACTTCGTATTAGATGTATATTAGACACTCATATCAGTAGTATGTAAATATATATAATATACATATTGAACATACACTCATATATATCACATACATATATCGTTAGTCAGATATATTACAGATATATTACAAATATATATCATTTTGGTAAAGTTGTCATTTTAAAATTAGACCTCTATTTTTTTGTAAGTGTTATATTTGAAAAAACTAAATATAATTATTATTTTACTAATTTTACAAAATATTTTTGTCATATTTGCAATTGTCCCTCAAATAAATGCCACCTTTTTAAAATAGGGATTTTTTTATATTTCATACTAAAAAATTATAACTAATTATTAGAATATTCTAATCCACAGACTAATATTAAAAACAATATATTATTCATTTGCGTGCCTGCCCTTTTAACTTCGTGGACTAAAACCAATAACGCGTAGCTTTTATTTTCTTAATTTTTCATTTGAACCCTCAAATCTGCTTCCCCTCCCCCTTCAGATCTCTCCCTCTAATCCATCATTTTTTAGAAGGTTGAAATTACATAATAATAATAAATAAATAAAAATGGGAAAAGTGGAAGATTTTAAGGAGTGAAAAATATATGATTTGAGAGGATTGCAACTCTCAGACCCACATTATTGTAAAATCAAAACAAAAACAAAAACAAAAAAATACGGAAAAAAAAAGAAATAGCTTTATATTTGAGTGGTGGTTTATATTTTATAAAATATAAATATAGCTTTTCTGCGTCTTTTTAAACAAATATAGAATAGGGAGAAGAATGAAATCCGCAATTATTTTTAAAATTAGTTTATAATTTGTAACATTTTAATAGTTAATTTTCTTTTTATGAATATTAAAAAGAAGGTCCTCTAAAATAGAGATGAAAGACAAAAATTATATTTTTTAAAATATAGCAGAAAGTTAAATTTTTTTAAAAAATAACATTGTTCACATTAGAATCAAAATATAATATATTTTAAAATAAAAATTGTGACATATTTTAAACTACATATTAAATTTAAATTATGCAAAATAGAGATAATATTCTATTTCTAAAATTTTTGAAATATTTTTCTTTCAAAATTTGTAAAGGTATAAAGTCGGTATATAACTTAGAATATAGTTAAATTTTTTAAAGGTATAAAGTGCCAATATAACTGAGAATATCTCATCCAATTTAAGGGTTGAGCTCACTCTCCTAGGCAATTTTGAGAGATCAACACACTAAAGCACATATCTCCGATCAAAATTCTCCTCACCTATTGTGCTTAAAAAAAAGTTAGTATAATAAATTAATTTATTACTAAAGAATCAATTGTTTTTTTTTAACCTTCACAATTGACGAAGACGTACTACTATTAAAATTCTATGAAATAATTTATTAAGAAAATTAAACCACAAGAACAAGAAAATTTATTTTCTAAAATTTAAAGAATAAATAACACATTTAAAACTTAAAAAAAATTAAAATAAAATATTTACTATATTATAAGGTGAGGTAGTTTAGAATAATTTTTATCTATTTGTTCTTTATATAATTTAAAAAATTTCCTTAATAATGATGGCCCATAGTTTTACCTTTTGTATTACTTTTTATTGAAATTAAAAGATTAAATACATGCTTCAGTCCATTTTTGTGTCTTTCTTTTTTTTCAATTTAGTTCTTCTTGTAAAAAAAATTTCAATTTAGACTCTTATTTTTTAACATTTTTTTCATTAAATCCATCCCAGAAAATTAAATTTGTAATTCTTCCTCCAAATTTCTAAGAAATTAGTAACAATTTCAAGTTTGTTCTCATGATGCTTTTTTTCCTTCAAAATTTCCACAAATTTATTAAGCACCTAAGTTTATTATCGGTCAATTTTAATATTCACCAACAGTATCTAAATTAAAAATGTTTGAAAATGTTAAAATTGAAACATTTTTTTTTCCAGTAAAATCAGAGCAGAGGGATTTCAACTCACAACCTATGGTTGGAGATAAAGTGTCAATACTGTGAGCTTAAATTGGAAAAACTAATAATATTTAGCTCTTTTAAACAATAGAGACTAAATTGGAAAAAAAAAAAAAACTCTCAAATAAATTAGTGATTAAAACTCATATTTAGCTAAATTAAAATAATATTGACATTCTACAAATTAAAATAAACCACATTAAGTTAAAAATATTCATAAAATTTTAATAATAAAAAAAACATTAATTCCAAAAACCTATATTTTATTTTTCAAATTGGCTAAAATTTTAAAAGTAGCTTTTAAAACAAAATATCAAACGGATATCCAATAAACTTTAGGTTAAAATACTAGTTTGGTCCCTATATTTTAAGTTTTGATTCATTTTGGTCCCTGTATTTTCAACTTTTATTTCATTTTGGTCCCTATATTTTTAAAAAGTAATAATTTTGTTCTCTTAATTTCATTTCTTCTATCACAATTTTAACACGATATTACATTCAATATATTTCTTAAAATGTAACCATAACTTTACATTAAAACGTTCCCATTATAGGTAGTATTTATGTTAAAATTTTGAAAATAGAGACCAAAATGACAACTTTTTAAAAGTACAATGACTAAAATAAATATTTTGAAAGTATAAGGACTAAAATAAACAAAGTTAAAAATATAGGGATCAAAATGAAGCAAAGTTAAAAAGTACAGGACCAAACTAGTATTTTAAACTAATTGCTTCTTGAACTCCAGTAGGGAGACAAAATCCTAGGAAGACCCGTACAGAGAGAGAAAAAGTTCCAACGCTAGACAACCCGTTTATTCACTCAAGAGATGAGTAAATAAGAATTGCGTATTTACGTGGGTGAGTCTCTATGTTTATATAGGTGTAAAATAGTGGGTCTCGCTCACCTGTTACTTTCGACAATCGTGTAACTCCTGACCTGGATTTCGCGATCATGATTAGTGTACCGTTAAAAATAGTTTTTGGTCATATCTTACTTGTCCCTTATCAATATCGGCACCGAGATGAGGTCTTGAAACTTTGCTCCTCGACCTAGAGGTACAAGGTATTATTCTTTTGACTCTTGAGATCTCATCTCCTTTTGCCACATGTTAGGTGGTTTTGCTCAATCCAATAATCTTAAAAGAAAAAAAAATTTAATCGATGATATATATTTAACCTATGTTGGAAGATGAAAAGTGCCTTAAAAACTAAAAATTTAAAAAGGAAATAGAAAATTGATTATAGCCATCAAAT